CCACTATCAACCAACTTGATCTCCTAGACATATACAGAACACTCCACCCAACGGCAGCCAATATACTTTCTTTTCCAATACACACGGAACATTGTCTAGAATAGACCATACATTAGGCCATAAAGCAAGCCTTAACAGAATCCAGAGCATCAAAATATTACAAAGCATTTTTTCTGACCATAAAGCCATAAAAGTGGAGTTCAGTAACAGAAAAAGCAAGGGAAAAAAATCAAACATAGAAACCGAACAACTCCTTGCTCAAAAACTACTGGGTTATAGAAAAAATTAAGGACAGAATAAAGAAATTCACAGAATCAAATGAGAATGAAAACACATCGTACCAGAACCTTTGGGATACAGCAAAAGCAGTGCTCAGAGGTCAATTTATAGCAACAAATGCACACATCCAAAAAGAAGAAAGGGCCCAAATCAAAACATTAACCCTACAAATCAAACCAATAGAAAGAGCAGCAAAAGAAGCCCTTGGGCACCGGAAGAAAGCAAATAATAAAAATTAAAGCAGAATTAAATGAAATAGAAAACAGAAAAACCACTGAAAGAGTTAACAAGAACAAAAGCTGGTTGTTTGAAAAGATCAACAAAATCGATTGATCATTGGCCAAACTGACCAAAGAAAAAGAAGAGAGGAAGCAAATAACCTAAATAAGAAATGAGATGGGCAACATCACAACAGACCCAATTGAAATTAAAAGAATCATAGCAGAACACTATAAAAAACTATACTCTAACAAATTTGAAAACCTAGAAGAAATGGACAAATTTCTAGAAACTCACTACCTACCTAAACTAACACAAACAGAGGTAGAACAACTAAATAAACCTATAACAAAAGAAGAGATAGAAAAGGTAATTTAAAAACTACCAACAAAAAAAAGCCCTGGCCCTGATGGTTACACTGAATAATTCTACCAAACTTTCAGAGACGTTAACACCACTGCTACTAAAGGCATTTCAGAGCATAGAAAAAGATGGAATGCTCCCAAACTTATTCTATGAAGCCAGCATAAACCTGATACCAAAACCAGGTAAAAACACCACAAAAAAAGAAAATTACAGACCAATATCCCTCATGAACATAGATGCAGAAATCCTCTACAAAATTCTAGCCAATAGAATTCAACAACATCCAAAAAAAATAATTCACTATGACCAAGTAGGATTGATACCAGGTAGGCAGGGATGGTTCAACATTGAAAAACAATCAGTGTAATCCATCACGTTAATAAAACAAAAGACAAAAACCACGATCTTACCAATTGAGGCATTTCACGAAGTCCAATACCCATTCATGATAAAAACTCTCAGCAAAATAGGAATAGAAGGGAAATCCTTCAACATAATAAAGGGCGTTTATACAAAGCCAACAGCCAACATCATCCTGAATGGAGAGAGTCTGAAACCATTCCGCTTGAGAACAGGAACCAGACAACATTGTGCTGGAGGTTCTAGTGCAATTAGGCTAGAAAAAGAAATAAAGGGTGTCCAAATTGGTAAGGAAGAAGTAAAAGTATCTCTATGTGCAGATGATATGATCTTACACACAGCAAACACCAAAGAATCCACAAGAAAACTACTGGAACTAATAGAAGATTTCAGCAAAGTATCAGGATACAAGGTAAACATACAAAAATCAGCTGGATTCCTCTACACCAACAAAGAGAACTTCAAAGCGGAAATCACCAAATCAATACCATTTACATTAGCCCTCAAGAAGATAAAATACTTAGGAATAAATCTAACCAGAGCCGTAAAAGACCTATACAAAGAAAACTACAAGACACTACTGCAAGAAACCAAGAGAGACCTGCATAAGTGGAAAAACATACCTTGCTCATGGATAGGAAGACTCAACATTGTGAAAATGTCTATTCTACCCAAAGCCATCTACAGATACAATGCAATCCCCATCCAAACTCCAGTGGCATTTTTTGATGAGATGGAGAAACAAATCACCAACTTCATATGGAAAGGGAAGAGGCCCCAGATAAGTAAAGCATTACTCAAGAAGAAGAACAAAGTAGGAGGCCTCACATTACCTGATTTTAGAACCTATTATACTGCCACGGTAGTCAGAACAGCCTGGGACTGATACAACAGATACATAGAGCAGTAGAACAGAATTGAAAATCCACATGTAAATACATCCACCTGTGAGCAGCTGATATTTGACAAAGGCCCAAGGTCCGTTAACGGGGGAAAAGACAGTCTCTTTAATAAATGGTGCTGGCATAACTGGATATCCATCTGCAAAAAACTGAAACAAGACCTATAACTCACATCATGCATAAAAACTAACTCAAAATGGATCAAAGACCTAAATATAAAATCTAAAACGATAAAGATCATGGAAGAAAAAATAGGAACAATGCTAGGAGCCCTAATATATGGCATAAACAGAATACGAACCATAAGTAGCAATGCACATACACTAGAAGAGAAATTAGATAACTGGGAGCTCCTAAAAATCAAACACTTATGTTCATCAAAAGACTTCACCGAAAGAGTAAAAAGACAACCTACAGACTGGGAAAAAAAATTTGGCTACAACAAATCCGATCACGTCTAATCTAAAAGCTACAAGATGCTGCAAAACCTCAACAACCAAAAGACAAATAACCTAATTAAAAAATGGTCAAAGAATAGGAACAGGCACTTCACCAAAGAAACATTCAGGCGGCAAACAAATACATGAGGAAATGCTCACGATCATTAGCCATTAGAGAAATGCAAATCAAAACTACAGTGAGATACCGTCTCACCCCAACAAGGCTAGCATTAATCCAAAAAACAGAAGATAATAAATGTTGGGGAGGTTGTGGAGAGACTGAAACACTTATACACTGCTGATGGGAATGTAAAATGATACAACCACTTTGGAAATCGATTTGATGCTTCCTTAAAAAGTTAGAAGTACCATACGATGCAGCAGTCCCACTCCTTGGAATATATGCTAGAGAAATAAGAGTCGTCACACAAATAGATACATGCACACCCATGTTCATTGCAGAACTGTTCACACTAGCAAAAAGATGGAAACAACCTAGGTGCACATCAACAGATGAATGGATAAACAAATTATGGTATATTCATACAGTGGAATACTACGCAATGATAAAGAACAATGATGAATCTGTGAAACATAACATGGATTAGTCTGGAAGGCATTATGCTGAGTGAAATGAGTCAGTCGCAAAAGGACAAATATTGTATGAGACCACTATTATAAGAACTCAAGAAATGGCTTAAACACAGAAGAAGACATTCTTTGATGGTTTCAAGGGTGAAGAGGGAGGAAGAGGGGTGGGTATTCACTAACTATATAGTACACAAGAATTATCTTAGGTGAAGGGAAGGGCAACACACAACTGTACTAAACCAAAAGCTAGAAAGTTTCCTGAATACATCCAAACACTTTGAGGGACAGAGTAGCAGGGGCAGGGGTCTGGGGACCATGGTTTCAGGGGACATCTAGGTCAATTGTCATAACAAAGTTTATCAAGAAACTGTTCTGCATCCCACTTTGGTAAGTGGCATCTGGGATCTTAAAAGCTAGTGAGTGGCCGTCTAAGATACATCAATTGGTCCCAACCCACGTGGAGCAAAGGAGAATGAAGAACACTAAAAACACGAGGAAAATATTAGCCCACGAGACAGAAAGGGCCACGAAAACCAGAGACTCCCATCAGCCTGAGACCAGAAGAAGTAGATGGTGCCCAGCCACCACCAATGACCGCCTTGACAGGGAACACAACAGAGAGTCCCTGACAGAGCAGGAGAAAAGTGGTGTGCAGAACTCAAATTCTAGTAAAAAGACCAGACTTAATGGTCTGACTGAGACTGGAGGGACTCCGGAAGACATGGCCCCCAGACTCTCTGTTAGCCCAGAACTGAAACCATTTCCAAAGCCAACTCTTCAACAAAGATTAGACTGGACTGTGGTACATAAAATGATACTCGTGAAGACATTGCTTCTTAGCCCAAGTAGATACATGAGACTAAATGGGCTGCTCCTGTCCAGAGGTGAGATGAGAAGGCAAAAAGGGACAGGAGCTGGTTGAATGGACACAGGAAATCTGGGTGGAAAGGAGGAGTGTGCTGTCACATTATAGGAGGGACAGCTAGGGTCACGTAGCAATGTGTGTTTAAATTTTTATATGAGAAACTGACTTGAACTGTAAACTCTCACTTAAAGCTCAGTTAAAGAAAAAAACATCACGGCTCCAGTTGTCTGGTGGAGTTGCCAAGGCTCTCCTCAGGGCCCTGTGTTTCCAGGGAGTCCCCGGGTCACTGCTGTTGCTAGTCAGCAGCAGGCTAAGCAATGCTTGTGTTTGTGCCCCTTCCCCCGCCCCCCATTTCTCAAAAGGCTTCAATTTTATTGACATGGAATTTTGTATCCTCGGTTGAAAAAACTATCACTAAGTGTTTCTGATTGCCTAATTTGTTTTTGAGAGGCATAAATCTTTTTCTAAAAGCAACTTAATGGTGGTGTTTATTTTAACACTGTGAAGGAGAGGGAGTCTTATCATCACTGAATTATTTAAAATTCTAAAGCTTGTTCCAGCATGTCACAGCAATGGAAGTGAGTGACTGTGGGGGCGATGGTATGTTAAATCGCAGTTGGCTGTCTCAAGGCAGTGTTGGTCTAAAATGTACTCCTTATTTTTGTTTTGCTTTTCTGATTGCAAAAGTAACTCTTACTCATTGCAGAAGATTTTGAAAGTAATGAAAAGTACAAAGTAGAAAACCAAAATTAGTTATAATTTCACCTCTCAGAAATCTATTAACATATAAGACATTTCTTTTCTGTTTTTATTTAAACATAAATACCTTTTATTTACAAAATTGTGATATTAGTTGTAATTTTGCTTTTTTTACTTACTGCTATAACATATTCTTTTCTTCAGTGTCATTAAAAATCACATTTTTGCATAAACTATTCATTGCTTGTATGGACCATGATCTGGAATGTTCTGTTGCAGTGGGAAGAGGAGAGGAACTTCGGTGCATCCCTATTACTCCCAGGCCTAAAACAAGAGAACTCAGTGGGCTTGAGTTCCCAGTTGTATGGCTATGCACTTCTTGGTAAGCTACATGATCCTTACGAATATTTTCTGTCATCAATAGAATTAATGCATTCTTCTGCTTCATAATTAAATTCTAATTTGATTTAAATTTACTAGTGAATTTCCAATACAGCCTTCATTGTTAGACATAAAAATAGACCTGGGTGGCCTTACGGTTATGTAAGGTTTATTAAATGCATGTTATTTCCTTGCTCTTCCATTCTCTCTCTTACGTAGATACACATTTAAGGAAGCATCTGCTCTTGACCATGCACTGCAGCTGCTTGCCTTTGTTTTCTGAATTTCTTCAAAGTTGCAGCAGGCTGACTACTTTTGAAGCTGATCTTTGCCAACAAAATGTAGCGTGGCATTCTTGGATGCTGATGCTGATATAAACTAAGAGAGGAATTTCAGAGTTTATCAGACTAGCTGATAATAGACTACTCTTTCTAAAAATCACTTTTTCCTTATTTACCATCTACCATTGATTCTGATTTGCATATTTTTTCATTTGCCTTCAGATTACCATTCAGGACTAACATGCTGCCTGCAGTGTTCCAGAAGCTGTCAGGGCTAGGAAAATGTGCTTTGTTGTTGTTGGGCATGAGCAGAGGTCCTGATCCTCTGATCCTAGTCTTGGCAGCCACCAGATCAAAAGCTCTTTGCTCTCGTTCTGACATGTGCTGTGCAGCCTCACTCAACCCTGATGGTAGCAGCTGCCCAGGTTGTGACTGCAGTCCAGCCCCAAGCACCTTAAAGGTCTAAAATTAGCTGTCACCTGATAAGCTTTGTCTGTTTAAGTGCTTCTGTGGCTTTCTCAAATCTTCCTTCCCAGGAAAGATAAGTAAAGGTAGATTTAAAACCTGGCAGCTCAAGGTGACTTCCTTGGTCATTAGTGCAGAGCAAGTTTCTGCCCCTCTCCCTTGGGAGGGCCCTGCTGCCAGGCGTCTGCATCTTGAGCTCCAGTTGTGCTGGTTTGAGGTGCTGAGAGAAGCACTTATGTCCTGAGTGTCAAGAGAATGATAAGGACTTTGTGATTTAAGAACCGATGAAGCTCAAATAAAGGCAAAAAGAGGAAGATGAATTTTTTTTTTTTTTTCATAAGGACAGTAGATTGGGTGTTTTGGAGCATTTCGAAAAATGTTAAACATTTCCTGGCAGGGAAAGTTGTTAGTGCTGACAAGATTTTCATTGGAGAAAAGTTGTGGAATTTCTTTTTCTGGGAGAGATTTTATTCTTGAAACAAAAATAGTGTTTCAGTTGTTAGATTCTTTTTTAAGCGTATTCCTACTTAGAGGCAGATATATCAGCTTCTCTAAATTCCCCTCAGTCCTATGATTCACACATCCTTATTGGTAATCTCCACCAGCCCAAATGAGAAAGAAGAAAAGTAAGTGTGTACAACTTTGCATTACAAAATGTATACAGTTAAGTTTACCACATTTTTCATCATCCATCTGAAATTTCACCAGGTCCTTGGATGGGATGAGGCTCTTGGTACAGATTTGAAATGATCTGTATTTGTTTCTAGAGCTGCCAGGCACATTCACCTCTGCTTTCAAGTCCTCAGTCTCAGACAGTGGGATGACCTGACTGAGCATCCTTCATTGTTGTTTTTGACCACAGGGAACGTGGAATTGCGTCAAGGACTGCGGGCCGTGTACCACAACATGCCTCTAATGTGGAAACCAGGGTATCTCAACAGAGCCCTTCAAGTGATGGAGAAAGTGGCTTCCTCCCCAGAAGACATAAAGCTCTGTAGAGAAGTGGTATGTTCCTCAGTTCTAATTCAGTGAGATTTAGCCATCTCCTGTTCTTGATAAATCGAGCTTTGAATTTGTTTTTACAAGTTTGTTCCCCATCCTCTACTTTCTGTGTTTCGACAGGATATGTATTTATGCAGCTTTAAAAGGAATGAAAAACCACAAATTTTCAAGGTTGCTGACAAAAAGCAATAGAAAATAAAGTTCATATTGATTTTATGGTTTATTGTCTAAAAGGGCAACTATTCCCCCCACCCTGAAATTCAGGCTGAGTTCAATAAAATACTGCCCACTCCACTGTTCCCCTTCTCCCCAAAAAAGCTCCCAAGGAGAGCTCAAGAGAGGGTAAGATTTCATGTTAAATACTTTTGGGCATTCCTGTACCCTCATGTAGTCTTGGTTGACCACGTAATGTTTTGTTTTCCCCCTTATAAGCCCTCAAGAAATGAATCTGGGGACTGGAGATGGCATAATCTTATTCCTTCCATTAATCTGTTCTGTGCTGAATGCACGGTGCTGAGGAGACCTGAATCTGATGTTCCTTTCAAAGTTCTAGGGTGTTCACTTGGCCTGGACTAGGAAGGTGCCTTGCCACCAGCCCCAAACCTCATCTGTATTAGTCATCTAGAGCTCTTGGTACTAAAATTCCTAGACTTAGCTCAGACTATAGGGAACATGGTATCTTACAGCCACATAACAAGCCTTATACCCCATAGGGAGGCGTAGTGTCTACTCCTGTCCTGGCAGCTTTCATAGCCAGAGTGAGTCCTAGAAAGATGTTGGTTGTTTTGTTACCAGGGTGTAACAGTTAACTTTGGGCCGCTTACTTGTTTTGTCTTGACCCTGATCATTAGCATCCCTTGGCTTTGATTTCAATCATGAGATGCAAGTCTGGTGCCTATACTGGTACCTCATACCAGTGTCTAGTGAATTGTTATGTTCTTTGCCAGACTTATATAACAAAGGATGTTGTTGTTGGCATTGTTGTTGTTAGTAGGTGCCGTGGAGTCTGTTCCAACTCACAGCGACCCTATGTACAACAGAACGAAACACTGCCCAGTCCCATGCAATCCTCACAATGGTTGCTATGTCTGAGCCCATTGTTGCAATCCATGTCATAACGAAAGATACATGTTTCTAAATGTATATTCATGTTTTAACCTTGCTTTAGTCAATGCTAGTGATTGAAAATGCAAAATTATATTTAAATCCTTTGTCAGGAAAATCTTCCTTCTGTTCTAAGCCAGATTTATACACTGTATCCGACTTAATAGGAATGTGATTCAGATGTCAGCAAGGACTGGATATGTCGGGTTTGGGTGTAGTGTATTAGTGGTATTAAAAGGCCTTGGGGTATTTTCTGGATTTTTGTTCTAATGTAACACAGACAGGATTCATCGGTATCCAGGTAGGTGCTTACGCGGGCCTTAATGTTGTCTGTATCCTGTCTCTGGTGACTCCTTGGGTCAAGGGAGGTGCACTCAAAAGTGAAAGTGGTGGAGGGAGAGGCAAAACAAAAATAAACCCTCTGTTTTATAATTTGCCTAATCTTTAAGTCACAGAAATCACCTCATTAAAATGAATTTCATGTATGCATCTCTGTTCTTTGCCAGCAGCTTCTTTGGATTACACTAATGCCTAATTTATAGATACCCTATAAACAAAAATCGTTCTCTGAGGGAGGCTCTCACCTATAATCAGAGGCTTAACTGTGCCTTCAGAATGACTCTTTGTTGGTTGTAGTCTGTGGTGGTCTTTCCCCTTGTCCCAATTCCAAACTGACTGAGGAGGGAAGACAGAAGGAGGAGGTACTTTAGTGTCCATCAAGCATAATTCTTAGACTCCTACCTCGTCTAAAAGTGAAATCAAATGCCATTGTACTGATTCACTTGCACAGATAATTCTTAGCTTGCTTATTTTTATCATTTGTTTTGTACTAAGTTTTCCATGCCGTCTGATAGTGTTTCTAATGTGAAGTAATATAACCATTTCCTACAATTTTACAAGTCTTCTCACGTTTTTTTTTTTTTTTTTTAGTTCCTGTTATTTTTTCCTTTCTTTCACCTTCTCCAGCCTCTCTTCTCAGTGTACTTTCAAGGCCACAAGATGAGTAGCCCCTGACCCTCTTTCTGCTCTGCAGCTCGATGTGCTGGACGTAGTGCTGCAGGCTCTGACTTCTCCAGCGGATGGGTCTTCAGAGGAACAGTCCCAAGAAGGCGAAGACCACCAGGGAGCAGAAGACCTGGTAGAAAATTTAGACACAAAGGAAACTGAACGGTCCAAGCTTCCCCAGTACCTGGAACGGTTTAAGGTGAGTCGTAGCAGAATTGAGTCTATCTCAGCTGTGCATTCAACATGCTTCTCTGCTGTGGTGATAGACAAGCAGTCCTTTCATCAATGTCACACACAGAGACATTAAAAACTGACATCAAAAATTACATTTTTATTGCTTCACACAGGAAGTGGTCTTAAAAGAAACAAATGGAATTTTTATGCTCCTTTTTGTACTTGAGCTATTCAGTCACAGTTTTGTTCACTAAAGCAGCATGTCATTACCCACTCATCCCTGACGTGCATCTGATGATTGAAGGCCTGATGGGTGGGTAATAGCTTGCCTACTCGCAATAGCCTGACTCCAACCCAGGTGGAAAGTATCTGATCATTTCTCCTTTTTGCATGAGATGTGCTCCATAACCCAGAAGCCCAGATAGAAATTAGGAAGCCATGTTTGAGTATGATAGAGATAAGATGCAGGCATCTTTTTTTGCTCATCTTTGCCAGCTTTGTGATGTTCACTGGGCCATTAGAAATACTCTGTTGTATAGGATGAAAGATGTAAATCAGTTTGCACTATTTCTTTCCAAAACAGCCCTGAGCACTCAAGCGCCTTTGGTAGCATTCATCTGCACATCCCAGAATACTTTGTGATCAGCATTTAGGAAAGAAGAGCCATGTTCAAAGCTTAAATTCTTGATTTCTTTCTTGCTTTATTTCTGGTCTATTTGGTGCCAAGAGAAAAAAGTGCTGCCTGAGTGGGAATTCTTTGAATGTAGCAGAAAACCTTTCTATCCATGCAAGCTGACCTGTTGTATCATTTTGAGACAGAGAGATGTAAACCACTAGATTATTACGTTTAAGTATTTTCAGTAATTGTATTGAATTAGCTACGGGAAGCCTATTTCCTCATTTTATAAGGAGGATTCTATTGTATTTTTAGCAGCTGTTTCTCCCAGTACTTTTTTGTTCATATAATTTGAAACTGAGAAAGAGAGGTTAGACAATTTTCCCAAGATATACCGAGAATTGACAGTAGAGCTAGACTGAGAATTTGCGTACCCATCCTTTCCTCATAACTTCGCCTATAGATTTTGGAAAGGTTTTAAAAAGAAAAACCTACTTAACCTCACAGATAATCATTCACATTGACCAAGGATGCCACAACATTCCTAAAAGTTGCATCCTCTTTCTCATGTTTCCTGTATAATTAGCCTCAGAGAATAAAAATCTGTGCCTGCATTAAATTCTCAGCTCTCACTCTTCTACAGATGCGTTTTTATGAAAATCAAAAAGGAAAAGAGGTGAATATTTATTGAATGCTAGCTGTGTGTTAGACACCATTGCTTTTCATTTATCTTCACAAAAGGTCTGGGTGGTAGATACTGCTCTTCTGTGTTACACGACACCAAGGCTGAGAAAAACTAGCGCATATAACACTGGGTTTGAACAAAAGTTTGCTGACACAGAGTTGAGTCCTTATTCTGATGTCCCAAGCTGTCTCCTTGGCCTCGAACCACATGGAGGATGATGTCAGAAAGAAATCATTTTACATTTCCTTTTCTTCCCGTGGCCTAGTTGTTACTAGAATGGCATCATTTCTTTGGGGTCCATTTTTATATGACTGACCCTTCACAGACAGCCTCTGGCCATTCCTTGAAGCCCATGGGACCTGTCCACCTTCCACCCCGATTACTGGAGCAGGCCTCATCACTTATGCCAATTACTTGTATTTGTTTGTGGAACACGGGGATGTGTAGTATAAGCTACAACTAGGGCCATAAATGGCTCTCTCTGATTATCTCCACCTTGAAGCACTTAAGTAAATGAATGTTTTTAATACCTTACTTCTCTAGGAATACAATACCAACCAAACCAAGCTGCCATTTCAGATAGGGCTCTAAGCAATCAGTATGTAAAGGCTGACCTGCTGTGGAACACAGCAGGTCGAAGCTTCTAATAGTACAAGCACTCTCGGGAGCTGTTTAGCATGCCATTAGTAAGAAATCCTTGAAATGATTTCCATCTGTTGAAAGGAACACTAGTAGGGCAAACATTTGTCTCAGTTATTCTAAGGGAAAAGATATGGATGGGCTCCTGTTTATCATATGCTTCTGCCATTTTGTTTGCATCTTAGAATTCTTTGTTCTTGGCGTTCGCTGCTTGGTTTGGTGTAGGTCAGAGTGGAAACATAGATTTGTTTTACTGTGCTGTCTTTGTGGTTTAAAACAAGAAATTATACAGGGAGTCACAAGCATGTGAACTGCCATTTACTGTTTGTGAGTAAAGGAGGAGAGATCACATGTGGTGCATCTTAGCAAAACTGCTGGGCTAAAAAAATGGCAAAAGCTAAGTGTGTCTGGATGAAAGACTGCCTGACAGATTCCCAACAAAGCACCTTGTGCTGCAAGCAACATGCATGGGTATTTTGCAAGTGACTGAATCTCTTCTGTTTTCCTCTCTATTTTTCTCCCACCTGCTCCCATTTTTTCCTCTGGATTTTGTTTTGTTTTATTTTTTCCTTTATTTCCCATAGGCCTTACATTCTAAGCTACAGGCTCTGGGCAAAGTTGAGTCAGAAAGCCTTTTGACTCTGACCACCCAGCTTGTTAAGGACAAGCTGCCCACCTGTGAAGCAGAGGACATCGCCAACTATGAGCAGAAACTGCAGCAGTGGCATCTGGAGCGAGTACAGTTGATTCAGAGGGAACAGGAGCAGAGGGAGAAGGCAAGACAGGAGCATCAGGCTCGGACAGCGGCAAAGGCATCTGCCTAACGTGGCCCCACAGGGCCCCAGCCCCTCCTACAAGAACTTCACTCGGCCCCATCATAGGATTCATCAGTGACCATGACAGCAGCCTCAGCTTCCTCCATATTTCTTCTGCTTTTCTTAAAGCAGGCCACATATGGTATCCAAGCCAGGATGCTCTACATAGCTCTGATGGAACAACATACCTGGGAGGAAAGGGACAAAGGCATTATACTGGCAGGACTTTCAAGCCAAGAGCAGCACACGGGCTAGTCAAACCCACCCACTGTTTTGTATTTTCAAGCGCTTCACATTACACTTGACAATATGACTTTTGGAGCTCTTCAGAACCTGTCATTTAAGATCAAGTCTGAAGGGAAACCATCACAGTGACTGCCCATCCAGATGCCAAGACGGGCTGTGAAACTATGAATATAGCAAGTGGTTGAACTGGGACCTCCAGCTAAATACCTTACAAGGTGGAGTTCCTGGGGGATACAGACCAATTTTGAACATTGAAAGTTCCTAATGCCTAGTGCTGGTGGTGGGAGAAGCTATGTGACTGAAGTGTCAGGTCTAAAACACTGACTTTTGAATGATCTTCTCTCTCCCCAGCCCAGGCAAATTGGGCCTAGGTGACCTGCATGTCCTGAGACTTTGTACCCCAGTTTGCTGTCCGTTGAGCTGCTTGTGGGGTGCTCACTCATTCCCATGTTCTCATTTCCACCATGCTTCACTTTTCCAGACCAGAACCTGGGCTGCACAGAGAAATCTATACAGGAGAGAACCAGGCCATGAACCTGCTTGATTTCAAATTTTAATAACCCAAAGTGGCACTTTTAGAATGTAAGGTCTTTTGAAGAGAAAGCTAGCCCCAGCTATGAAGCCTCCTTGACTTGGCTTCTCCGTTACGTTGGGGTGATGTTTTTTTTTTAAGAAAGCATTGTCTCAGTTCTTTTATCAAGTAGATAAAATGAGCCTATTGCATGTGCGCACGCACACGCACACACACACAACTTGTGAATACACATTTCTGTTAGAGACTTTGGAGATGGGGCATGAAATGGAGACGAGAATAATTGTAAAACTGTCAGGAGGTGGAAAATTTCTTTCTGAAGTTTCTCCTCTGTGGAAGGGGTAGAAGGCCACGTTTAGCTTGCTGTGTAATTTTGCCTTTAAGTACAATGGAGTATTTTTACTCATAATTGCACTCTTTTATCAAGAACCTGTGGAAATAAATGTTGTAAGATTATTTTGGTATGCTCTTTATTTTTTAGGAAAGGGAAGTGGAGACAAAGAATCTCACCATCATTATTTTTACTATGATTTTAAGAACATGTCTTCAACCCTCCTCCCCCATTAGACTGTGGCATTTATTAAAATAAAAACAACAAACATTTGTTGATTTACTGTATATCAAGCACTATGCCAACAATTCAAACCTTAGGAGGGAGGTACTGTTACCTCCACTTTATGAATGAGGAAACTGAAACTAAGGAATTCCTCTGAAGTCAGCTGCCACTACTCCTCAACCTGCTTATTGTTGCCGTGTGTGTTGTTGTTTTTAGTTGCCATCGAGTCAATTCCAACTCATGGCTGCCTATGTGTGCAGAGTAGAACTGTGCTCCATAGGGTTTTCAAGGCTGTGACCTTTTGGAAGCAGATCACCAGGCCTGTCTTCTGAAGTGACTCTGAGTGTATTCAAACTGCCAGCTTTTTGGCCAGTAGTTGAGCACTTAACCATTTGCACCACCCAGGGAACCTGCTGCCATGTATAACTGCAGTAAATATCCAGCATCCAGGGCCCTTTAGACTAGCACAACTGAATCTTATTTGGGTAGAGAGTAATGGCCAAAAGTTAATTCTGACATTTTAGTTTATTGACTATTGCTGTGTGAAACCTGTTGCTTTTGGGTCGATTCCAAGTCATGGCAACTCCATGTGTTACCGAGTAGAACTGTGCTCCATAGGGTTTTCTTGGCTGTAATCTTTAAGGAAGCAGATCACCAGGCCTTTCTTCCACAGAGCTGCTGAGTGGGTTCGAACCACCAACCTTTAGGTTAGTAGTCGAGCGAAAGCCATTTATGCCACCCAGGGACCCCCTATTGCTGCATGTAACATCTGCTTAATACTTATCTTAAAATTTTGCCTTCATTCTTTCTCCGCATCTGTCACTATTGCACTTCCAATCCTCCCAAAAAAGAGACCACTTCTGCCTCTGTGCTGCTGTCCCAGGAGGGATTTTCATGTTCTCTGCTCCTTGAGATTCCTTCCATACTTGGGCCCCCATGTCTCTAGGAATGCTCCCCTTTGAGATTTCTTCCCCTCCAAATATACTACCCTTTCCCCATGCTCTGATCTACTGAGCTAGGGGATCTACTCTCCCACTTCTTGATGATTTTGAGATCTGACCACAGTTGTCCTCTCTCTCTTTCCCTGATATCACCCTCTCTATTTCCTCTGTGTAGAGGACACTCGATAGCCTGGCCTCTGGGCCGGTCTCAGCTATAATAAAGTATCTTCCCTCTAGCTGACCTACAATAGCCTCCAGCCTCCAGCCTCCAACCTCATCACTAATCCAAGATCCTAGACCTTGAAGTCTCATTCTCCTAGTCTTGCCCTTCTCTCATGCCAGGACTCCTGCTGAACCAGCTTTTCTCTCTTTCTTCTGGCCTACAAACCCTTAGCCCTTGCCCAACTGCTCAAACCTTGGATCTTCAGGATGCTGACGCTGTTTGCCTTCCTGCAGGTCTGGTCCCCATGGTCAGCCATCTCACTGAAGCTCTCATTATACCCTTTGCCACCGAGTGAATTCTGACTCACAGTGACCCAATAGGACACAGTAGAATTGTCCCATAGGGTTTCCAAGGAGCAGCTGGTGGATTCAAACTGCTGACTTTTTGGTTAACAGTGGAGCTCTTAACCGCTATGCCACCAGGGCTCCGAAGCTGTCATTAACATCTTTAATTTCCTCTCACTCCTTTATCTAGACCCACTTGCCATCCTTACACCCAAGTAGACCATTTGTTTCTTTCTGTTTGCTTCTGACCTACTAAGTGTTGGTTTACAAAGACATATACTAGGCTGATCAATTCCTCTACAAATTCATGGCTATCCTTTCCAACTGAGTATTCTTTATATTTCATTGACTATATTTTTTTCCAGCAGCTTCTCTGCTCAAGCCCCAGACTCATGTCCCCCAGAATGTCTCTGCTTCATACTTTTATCAAGAAATTTTTGACCATGTGACATGGCCTCAGTCTCCCTCCTTTCTTCCCCAACAATTCTCTCTCCTTACCAGTTCCCTCCATTGTCTGTCCTACTTCCAAGTGATAGGTATCCACGCCGTCCTTTCCAAGGTGATTGTTGTTGTTAGGTGCTGTTGAGTTGGTTCCAACTCATAGCGACCTTATGTACAACAGAACAAAACACTGCCCAGTCCTGTGCTGTCCTGACGATCATTGTGTTTGAGCCTGTTATTTCAGCCACAATGTCAATCCACCTCATCAAAGATCTACCTTTTTTTTCCCTGATCCTCTACCAAGCATGATGTCCTTCTCCAGGGACTGGTCTCTCCTGTTAATGTGTCCGAAATATGTCTCAGTCCTCACTTCCAAGGAGCAGTCTGGCTATATTTCTTCCAAGACAGACTTGTTCCTTCTTCTGGCAGTCCGTGATATATTCAGTAGTCTTGACCAGCATCATAATACAAAGGCATCAATTCGTCTTCGGTCTTATTTCATTGTCCAGCTTTCACATACATATGAGGCAATTGAAAATATCATGACTTGGTTAGGCCCAGCTTCATCCTCAAAGTGACATCTTTGCTTTTTACCACTTTAAAAGAGGTCTTTTGCAACAGATTTGTCCGAGATACGTCATTTGATTTCCTGACTGCCACTTCCACGGGCATTGACCGGGGGAATCCAAGTAAAGTGAAATCCTTGACAGTGTCAGTCTTTTCTCCATTTATCATGATGTTGCTTATTGGATCAGTTGTCAGGATTTCTGTTTTCTTTATGTTGAGGTCTAATCATACTAAAGGCTTTGATCTTCATCAGTAAGTCCCCCAAGTCCTCTTCACTTTCAGCAAGCAAGGTTGTGTCATTTGCATATCACAGGTTGTTTAGGAGACTTCCACCAATCCTGATGCCACGTTCTTCATATAGCTTCTCAGATATTTGCTCAGCATATAGATTGAATAAGTATGGTGAAAGGATACAACCCTGACGCACACCTTTCTTGCACTGTATGAATGACTGCCTCCTAGTCTATATACATGTTCCACAAGAGCACAATTAAGGGTCTGGAATTCCCATTCTCCACAATTTTATCCATAATTTGTTATGATCCACACAGTCGAATGCCTTTACATAGTCAATAAAACACAACTAAACAAGATCATCTGACATCAACCAAGATCATCTGACATCAACATTGATAACCCTCGTTCCACTTCTTCTTCTGAATCTGGCTTGAATTTCTGGCAATTCCCTGTCTATGTATTGCTGCAACTGCTTTTGAATGATCTTCAACAAAATTTTCCTTGTGTGTGTGATATTAATGATATTGTTCGATAATTTCCACATTCTGTTGAATGACCTTTCTTTGGAATGGGCAAAAATATGGATCTCTTACAGTCGGTTGGCCAGGCAGCTGTCTTCCAAATTTCTTGGCATAGACAAGTGAGCACTTCCAGCACTGCATCCATTTGTTAAAGCATCTCAATTGGTATTCCGTCAATTCCTGAAGGCTTGTTTTTTGCCAGTGTCTTCAGTGCAGCTTGGCCTTGTACCTTTAATACCATCAGTTCCTGATCATATGCTACCTCCTGAAATGGTTAAATATCGACCAATTCTTTTTGGTACAGTGACTCTGTGTATTCCTTCCATCTCTTTTTGATGTTTCCTGTGTCATTCAATATTTTGCCCATAGAATCCTTCAAAATTGCAACTGAAGGCTTCAATTTTTTCTTCAGTTCTTTCAGCTTCAGAAATGCTGAGCATGTTCTTCACTTTTGATTTTCTAACTCCAGGTCTTTACACATTTCATTATAATATTTTACTTTGTCTTCTCGAGTCACCCTTTGAAATCTGTTCAGTTCTTTTATTTCATCATTTCTTTTGTTCACTTACATTCAAGAGCAACTTTCAGAGTCTCTTCTGACATCCATTTTGTCTTTTCTCTTTCCCGTCTTTTTAATGACCTCGTGCTCGCTTCATGTATGATGTCCTTGATGTCATCCCACAGCTCGTCTGGTCTTATGGTTATTAGTGTTCAGTGCGTCAAATCTATTCTGGAGGTAGTCTTCAGATTTAGGTGGGATATATTCAAGGTTGTATTTTGACTCTCGTGGACTTGTTTTAATTTTCTTCAGCTTCAGCTTGAATTTGGATATGAGCAATTGATGATCTCTTCCACAGTCAGCCCCTGGCCTTGTTCTAACTGATAATATTAAGCTTTTCCATCGTCTCTTTCCACGGACGTGGTCGATTTGATTCCTGTGTTTTCCACCCAGTGAGATCCACATGTATAGTCACCATTTATGTTGTTGTTGTATTTGCAATGAAGAAGTCATTGGTCTTGCAAAATTCTACCATGCGATCTCCAGCATTGTTTCTGTCACCTAGGCCTTGTTTTCCAGCTACCAATCCTTCTTGTTTCCAACTTTAACATTCCAGTCACCAGTAATTTTCAATGTGTCTTGATTGCATAGGTGACCAATTTCAGACTGCAGAAGTTGGTAAAAATCTTTAATTTCTTCATCTTTGGCCTTAGTGATTGGTACATAAATTTGAATAATAGTCATATTAACTGGTCTTCCTTGTAGATGTATGGATATCATCCTGTCACTGACAGCACTGTACTTCAGGATAGATCTTGAAATGTTCTTTTTGATGATGAATGCAATGCCATTCTTCTTCAATTTTTCATTCCCAGCATAGTAGACCATATGATTGTCTGATTCAAAATTGCCAATACCAGTACAATTTCAGCTCACTAATGCCTAGGATATCGATCTTTATGCATTACATTTCATTTTTGACGACTTCCAATTTTCCTAGATTCATACTTCATACATTCTACATCCCGATTATTAATGGATATCTGCAGCTGTTCTCATTTTGAGTCATGCCACATCTGCAAATGAAGGTCTCGAAAGCTTGACTCCATCCACATCATTAAGGTCAACTCTACTTTAAGGAGGCAGCTCCTCCCCAGTTGTATTTTGAGTGCTTTCCATCCTGAGGGGCCCATCTTCTGGCATCGTATCAGACAGTGTTCCGCTGCTCTTCATAAGTTTTTAAATGGCCAATTTTTTCAGAAGTAGATGGTTAGGTCCTTCTTCCTAGTCTGTCTTAGTT